TCATACTCCGCAAGCCAGCTCGCCACCTACCTCAAGAAGCATGAAGTAGAACATCTGGCGGAGCTCGACCGCGCTCTACACTACTTCGTCAGCACCCCAACGATCGACCTAACTTACTACAAGAACTCAACCACACCGACTAAGTTAATCAGCTACGTCGACGCTGATCACGCTGGCGACTCCGACAATAGGCGCTCCCGCACCGGCTACATCTACCGCCTCGAACCTATCGGACCTATCTCTTGGCAATCGAGCAAGCAGGAATTAATTGCTCTCTCGTCAGCTGAAGCAGAATATATTGCACTCTACTCAGCCACTAAGGAAGGACTCTATCTTCGCGAGCTGCTGGAAGAAGCGAAGTTAGCCGAGTTACCCAACTTTACCCTGTTCTGCGACAACTAGTCGGCGATTCGCATCGCCAACAAGAACGGCTTCGCGAACAGGACGAAACACATCGCCCTGCAATATTTCTTCGTGAAGGACGAGATCGAGAAGGGAAGGCTCGAGCTGTCATACTGTCCCACGTCCGAGATGGCAGCTGACTACCTGACCAAAAAGCTCGGAAAGCAGAAGTTCGAATACTGCATGCTGCTGACTGGACAGAGCCACGTCAGCGACACTCCAGAAGCGAAGAGGAGTGTTGGAAACAATCGGTCCTAAGCGCCTCTGTCGTATCGAAACACTAAGACACAAAAGAAACGAAGTATAACGAATCACCGGCGAGTCAACCCTCGGAGGTTGAAAGTAACTGTTGGAGGTTACGCGAAGGTCAGCGACCTTTGACCTGACAAATACAGCGCGACAGCAAGGACACACAACTGACTCGCTACAGAGCAGTTGCCCGAGTCGTCACTGTATCAAACCACAACAGCAATACAGTTATAACTGCATCTCTTCGTATTCCTTGTACTCATATATAAACCTGTATCCACCTGTTTTAATCAACTTACTTTGCCCTCACATACTAGCGCAAGGTGGTTCACAACCCTTTAATTAACGCTTCCGCTACTACACCAACTCTACCCAGAGTTCACCCCTGCAAAGATCCTAAGGGTTTTCAGCCCAACACCTCCACCCCACGACCAGAATCCGCAACACCATCAACACTTCCGTTGTCATTGGCGGCACCAGCAGCTGCGGCCGCAACCACACTCACAGCAATAGTCGTGGATCAGGAGGTGGAGGGCGAACAGTGGAGTTGGGAGAACGAGTTGAGTGCGAGTGGAGTTGGAACGCAGAGGATGGAGATGGCATGTAATGTAAGAAGATGGAGGCAGAGGAGGGGCGTGGGAGAATCAGGATAGACGGTGCTGAGATGGAGGGCTTCTGCAGTAGCATGGTTGCTGCCCCTCAGCACCATATGGCTTGCACTAGCCCCTTACTCCCTCCATTGCAGCTGCACCGGAGGAACGGGGAAGAGGACACAAGGGAAAGGGGACTCCGATTTACTGTTCTAGAGTCATCCCACAAAGAAGAATGAAAACAGAGCAGCCAATGCTAAAGCATCAGATGTCGTTATAAGGTGCATACATGGATAAACTCAGGCTTGGTACGCATCAAAAGCATAGCACTTGGCTAGGGCAGCACCTGGGTGCATAGTGAAGACTACAAGGGGAGGTGCCGCGAGGTATTGTGGGGTGTGAGTGCAGAGTGAGAGATAACAGGCCCAGCAAAGTACTATGGCCAAAGCTCTCAGCCACTACACCAGCTAGTCTGGCCTTTTACTTCCCATGCTACACTCCGTCCCTTCCTCCAACTGATGCCCTCTTCCCCACCCTCTCCTCCTCCCTCCCAGGTCCTTCCTCATCGCCATTCGTTGCACCCATCCCCCCTCAGCGTTATGTCCCTTTTTCTCCCCTTCTCCTTCCGAAGAGACTATCTTCCTCAACATGACCCACCCCTTCCATCTCCTCTTCTTTGCTGTTTTTCCCACTGCCCCTACCTACACGCCCTCCCTTCATTCACTACTCTGCACCCACCTTAATCAGCCGCCGCAGCATCGGTGTACCTCCTCTCAAGAATCTGCAAGAATTGGGTTGATGTCACGGCAAGGGAGGGCCAAAGGGCACCCATCAACCGTGCATGACTGCACGCAACGCAACGCACCGTGCATGGACTTGCCCCTAGAGGCCCTTTACGGCCCCGCGCTCGCCCCTAAGAGGCCAAGAACGGCCCCCCACGCTCGCCCCTAGCGGCCCCTTACGGCCCCGCGCTCGCCCCTACAGGCCCCGAACGGCCCCGCGCTCGCCCTTAGCGGCCCCTTACGGCCCCACGCTCGCCCCTATAGGCCCCGAACGGCCCCGCGCTTGCCCCTAGAGGCCCCGAACGGCCCGTGACCGCCACAGCCCCTCCAGGACCGAGCGGAGCCGCGCGACCCGAACCGAGCCGCCCAGTCCGAGCCGAGCCGCGCGACCCGAACCGAACCGCGCCGCCCTACCCAAGCCGCGCCGCCCTACCTGAACTGAACCGCGCCGCGCGTACTGTCCGAGCCGCCTTACCTATCTCACCCTCCTACTCCTACTGCTGCTCCTACTGCTCCTATGGCTAGCCCACCTGTGCTAGCTTTCGATGCTGAGGGCCGCCCAGTGAAGTTTGACACCTGGCTAGATGACCTGCACCTCAATCTACAGCTCATTGCCAAGGACGACATCTCACTGTACGACCACGCCCTAGGCCATGTCACTGCCCCTGCTGCTACTGCTGACAGCACTGCCCACTCACAATGGCAGACTCGTGACGCCCACGCTCGCTTTGCTATTCGCAACTCCCTGCCGATAGATGAGCGCGAGCACTTTGGGCAGCACAAGACTGCACAGGCACTGTACACTGGTGTCGTTGCCCGCTACTCCTCACCGGCCTCTGCCACACTAGGCTGTCTCTCTCTTCTCTACCTGTTCCCCGACTTAGCCTCTTTCCACACAGTCGCTGACCTCATTACGCACCTCCGCACTAGTGAGGCTCGCTTCCGCGCCGCTATGCCTGATGAGTTCCTTGCCAAGAACCCACCCCCGCTCTGGCTCACTCTCTACCACCTAGTCACCCGCCTCCCTGACACTCTGCGCTCAGTCAGGGACCACTTCCTAGCTCGCTGCCCCACTGAGCTCACCATTGCCCTCCTCGAGAAGGAACTCCTTGCAGCTGAGTCTAGCATAGTCGCTGTAGGTGCCTCTCGTGGCGACCCCCGTACCCCGTTCTTTGAGGGGCGTTCTCCTTCCCCCCTTCTTCCCTCTGTCGCCTCTGCTGCTGCCGTCGACCTCCTTGGTGCTGAGAAGGTCGGGACTGCGTCTGCTTCGAGCGGGTGCCGCAGCGGCAAGGGCAAAGGGGGCAAGGGCGGTGGCGGTGACGGCGGGGGAGGCGGTGGTGGGGGCGGTGGCAGCGGTGGGGGTGGTGGCGCGACTGGAGTGGCTAGTGGCAGCGGTGGGGGTGGTGGCGGCAGCGGCGGGGGAGGTGGCAGGGGCGGAGGCGGTGGTGGGGGTGGCGGTGGACGCGGCGGCGGCAGGGGTTGGGGTGGTCGAGGAGGTGGCGGCGGCGGTGGTGGTCGTGGAGGCGCTGGCGGTGGCCAGGGCCAGCAGCACACTCCGTCGCCCCAGGAGGTCCGTGACTGGTACTCTCAGCACGGGGGGGGGGGTGGCTTTAGCTGCACGTACCTCATTCGCACTGGTGACCGCACTGGTCAGCAGTGTGGGGGACCGCACGCCACACAGCGCTGCTTCGCTCGTCTCAACGACGCTTGGCGTGTTCAGTTCCCTCAGGCCACTGAGCTGCCCCGCTGGGTTGATCTCCTAAAGAAGGGGATTGATATCTATGCTCTAGACTTTGATGCTATTCTCACTGCTATGTATGTGATGTCTACTAGTGGAGAGGGTTCTGAGTACCTGTGTGTGCCGCCCGACCCGGGCATTAGGACTAGTGCGTGTGCCGCTCCAGGTACTCGCGTGTCTGCTACCCCAGGTGCTGGTGAGGCAGCTGCTCTAGGTGCTTGTGCGTCTGCCCCCCCTGGTACTGAGTCGACTGCAGCATTGCACACCTTCACACTGGACTCAGGTGCTTCTTTCGTGACCGCACAGCCCTTGAGCCGCTTACTCGGCCAGTTGCTGTCTCCCTCGCTGACCCCTCTGGGGGTCCGGTCATTGCGACCTCCTCCACTGTCCTCCCCTAACCTGTGGTCCCGTCGGGCACACTGTCAGGTCTCCACCTCCCCTCGTTCTCTACGAACCTGGTGGCAGGATGTGCGCTCCAGGACGGGGGTGTTCACCAGTTCACCCATGCCTACGAGCGAGTGACACACTGCACGTGTGCTCGTATGGGCCGTCACTTGGCTACCTTCACTCGGCAGCCGGGGTCGGACTTGTACACACTGACCACTGAGTCCCCTCAGGTCGCTGCGTCTGCGTCTGCGTCCGCGTCAGGTCAGCTGTCGGCCCCCTGCTCGTGTTGCTCTCTAGCACACGAGACTGTCCTCTGGCACCACCACCTTGGCCACCCGTCTGTGCAGCGGCTTCGTGCCATGCACTCCCGATACCTTGTCTCTAGCCTTCCCAGGGTCCTTCCTCCCCTTCCTCCCTCACCTGCTCCTCCCTGTCTTCCCTGTGTTGAGGGGCGGCAGCGCGCCGCTCCTCACTCCTCCTCGTTTCCCCCGACGACTGCTCCCTTGCAGACGCTCCACATGCACGTGTGGGGCCCAGCCCGCGTCCGTGGTCAGGGTCAGGAGAGATACTTCCTGATAGTTGTTGACGACTACTCGCGCTACACCTCGGTCTTCCCCTTGCGCACCAAGGGTGAGGTCCCTGATGTCTTGATCCCTTGGATCCGCAGAGCCCGTCTTCAGCTCAGCGAGCGTTTCCACTCGGACTTTCCTGTCTTGCGCTTGCACTCTGACAGAGGTGGTGAGTTTTCCTCCGACCTCTTGGCAGCCTACTGTGCTGAGCACGGCCACGCGCTCGCTCCTAAGAGGCCCCGAACGGCCCCCCAACCGTGCTTTTCCACAGTCCGTAGCAGCCATGGAGTCACTCACTCGTCTCGTTCTTGACAAGTGTGATCTTCTTCATGTGCTGCCCAAAGACATCGGGCAGCTTACAAAGTTTGGTTTTGCTGAAGGTGACCTGTAGCCTACTTGAGAGCCTGCCCAGTTCTTTCGAGAGACTGGGGAATCTAACAGAGCTGACTCTAATGAAATGCTACAGCCTACAAGTTCTCCCCTCCTCCTTTTCCAAACTCTCTTCTCTCGAAACGCTACTCATCTATGGAGGAGCCTCTCTCCAATCTCTCCCTGAGAGTTTTGAGCATCTGCCGAAGCTGCGTAGACAAGAGCTATTCAATTGCGCCTTACAACGGCTACCAGCAGGGTTTGGGAAGCTGGCAAGCCTGGAGATTTTCAAGGTTGGAACAAAGGAGGAATACGACAGGCACGGGCTCAGTGAGAACGAATGGCTGGGTGCCAACCTGGATATCTTTGGGTCTTGCGCCCTCAGGACTTTGCCACAGTCGCTTACTCTTCTCACTCGTCTGGAGGAGCTTGTTCTTGACGGATGTGATTTGCGTAATGATCCGCCGATGGGGATGGGGAATCTGTCCAGCCTTAAGGTGCTCAAGGTGAGGAACTGCGACCAGTTGTCCTACTTGCCCTCTCTTCTAACCCCTCGCATGCAGGCCCTTGCCCTTCAGGCTGGACCCGCATGCACATCAGCCGCTCTTGCTGCGGCTTCTGATCCGCCTTTTCCTTCCCTTGAGAATTTGGAGATTTCTGGCTGCCCTCGTCTGGAAAGCCTCCCAGAAGGCCTGCAAATGCTGCCTAAGCTTGAGCACTTCACACTCAAAGACTGTCCCAGCATGGTGCTTGTAGTGTGGAGCCCATTCCCGTCTCTTCCGCCCTTTCCGGTCTCTCTCACGACCATCAGCATATCCAACACCTTCCAGAACGTCAAGAGCCTCCCAGAGTCCTTCCTGTCGCTCAGCCGCCTTTGTCACTTGGACCTACACAGCCTCCGATTGGATGAATACCTCATAGCCCATTCTGCTGTAACTAACACCCCTGCTCCAGCCCGTGCTAGTTTGAACCTTCTGTCATCTCTGGTTCACCTCCACATTCTCGACAGTTACCTCCCTGCACTGCCGGGTAATCTGGACGACCTCGGAGAACTGAAGGTGCTGTCGCTATTCAAGTGCCATTGCATCTCCTCCCTTCCACCCGTCCTCTATAATCTCTCCAAGCTGGAACACCTCAGTCTCGACTCTCTCCCTCTCACGCATCTTCCGGACAATCTTGGACAGTTCACAGCTCTAGTCAAGTTGACTCTGCAGTCGTGCAAGGCTCTGCAAGGTCTTCCCTCCACCCTCACTCTGCCCTCATCCCTCAGACTAATGACCGTTGCAAACTGCCCCGGAATCAGCAGCCTCCCAGACTCCATCTCCTCCCTCTCGCATCTCACCTCTCTGGAGCTCAGGAGTCTGGTTGGTCTGTATCACCTGCCCTCCTCCCTCGCCCTCCTTCCATCGCTCGTCAAACTGTCACTTCAAGGCTGCAAGTGGCTGCGGGCTCTGCCCGACGGTCTGGGCAGTTTGTCCTGTCTGAGGGAGGTGGATCTGGGCGGATGCGCCCAACTGACTGAGCTACCGCAGTCGCTGCAGAAGAGGATGAATGTGATTGAAGTGAACGGCAGATGGGGCAGGCGCAGAGGGCAGAGGGAGCCGCATCAGGGAGAAACCGTTTACTAGGGGGAGAAGGTCAAGCTTTGATTTGAGGTTGGTTTCAGAGAGAATGGCCTTGCAGTCACAGTGAAGACGTTGCGGAATGCTTTTCAGATGTTGCTCCTTATCAGCTACCGTAATTAGGTCTGATTTCATGACGTAGTCTGCTGGTTTAAATAGGATGGTTGTGTTTGTGCTTGTTGTACGAGCAGCAGGTGCATTGATCTTGTTCGAGCCTGTAGCAGATGGTCAGATAATCTTACTACCTACAGAATTTTAGAAACGGCATCGGTCATTTAGTTGGCACCCATTTCGATTGAAGCCGCATCCCCGTGTTTTTGGCTTTATCAGGGCATGTACGTAATGTACCATGTTGTGCTTGGGGTGGAGTCCTACCACCCCAAAACAAGAAACAAACACGGGCGCATGTGTACTCAATGACAAAATTCATTTCTAAAGGGTGTTGTGTTGTGTACAACCCAGACGTTCAGCCAAGGGGACACAATAAGCTTTCTGCTTTCTCTTCTCCATGGCTGTCACATCTCCATGGCATCTTCCCCCTGCACTCCGCTTGCTTTCTTCTTCGCCTTCTTCTTTTTCTTCTTCTCCAAGGCTTGTTGGGCTTGCCTCGTTGCGAACTTGGTAGGGAGAGGGGGCGGGGCGACTGCCGAGGGAAGAGTGTTTGAGAGGTGCTGCTGAATGGCTGTGAAGGGGTTGGCTTTGAAGGCGGGGTGTGACAGCACGGCCGCCATTTGCTTGGTCTCTTCGACTCTGCAGACAACAGGTATGCACAAACAGTGAGAGGCACAAAAACGCGATTAGAGTGAAGTGGTATCTGTAGTACAGCAGATACTGAAATGAGCAGAACATATGAAACGCATACATATTCTTCTTGCATTGATATGAGTGTGCAAGGAGGGGAGGACGAAAGAATCGGCTTGCGTACGCTGGTCACTTATCAACGACAAGAGCAAGCACAGCATGCCATGCACACCCCACGCCACACTCACACAATCTTCCCGCGCTGCTTCGCTGACAGCCGCTTCTCCCCCTCCTTGCCCAGAGCCAGTGCGTCCGGCAGGGCGTCCCCCAGCGATGATGCGAGTGTGTCCAGTGTGAGGCTCGTTGGCAAATTGGACACTGCTCCCTTCTTCTTCTTCTTAGATGCCTTCTTGGTCTGTTGGGGGTGAGTGGGGGGGGGGGGTGAACTACAGTGAGAGCCAGTGCATCTGGCAGGGCGTCCCCCAGCGATGATGCGAGTGTGTCCAATGTGAGGCTGGTTGGGAGGTTGGACACCGCTCCTTTCTTCTTCTTCTTAGATGCCTTTTTGGTCTGTTGGAGGGAAGTGAGAGGGGGGGATGAATCACACTGAGAGGCAGTGCGTCCCCCAGCGATGAAGCAAGTGTGTCCAACGTGAGGCTCGTTGGGAGGTTCGACACTGCTCCTTTCTTCTTCTTTTTAGATGCCTTCTTGGTCTGTTGGGATTGGGACAGGCACACAGTGAGCGAGTGAGAGCACAGGAAAGGGCGTCCCCCAGCGATGATGCGAGGGTGTCGAGTGTGAGGCTCGTTGGGAGGCCGGGCACCGCTCTCTTCTATTGGAGGGAGTGGGGTCGACCACAGTGAGAGAGTGAGCGTACTGGCTGGCAGGGTTTCCTACAGGGAGGGATGAAGCGAGGGTGTCTCACGACGAGAGGCTGGAGCTTCCTCTTCTGAGAGCGGGGGGAGGGGGAGAGAGCATTGCGTGTGTGCTTCAGGGCGTGCGATTTGAAGGTGAGCACGTGAGACGAATGCTTGCATGCTCACAACGGTGCTTGCATGCTCATAACGGTGCTTGCATGCTCACAACGGTGCTTGCATGCTCACAACGGTGCTTGCATGCTCACAACGGTGCTTGCATGCTCACAACGGTGCTTGCATGCTCACAACGGCGCTTGCATGTGTAGACGCACCTTTGAGTCTCCCCTCGCAGCAGCAATGAGAGTCTGAGTTCGCCTCAAATCTGGCGAACAACATCAAAGAGGGAAGGAGAAACAAAGATGGATAACTTTTTTTAAGTGCCCGCAGAGTTTAGCAGCAGCAAAGAGAGTCTGCTGCGTTCGCCTCAAATCTGTCGCACAGCATTGGAGAGGGCAGGAGGGAGGAGAGGGATAATGAACAACGATACCAAACACGTACACTTGCTATAACCGCATGAACGATGAATCAATGACGCTAAAAGTACACGAACTACACATCATCCCTGCTATAGTCACACACACCCGCTACACTCACTGTCCATGAGCCTCGTCTGCTTGGCAGCCCTCTTCTGCACTCGCCTGCTCTCCGTCACCTGCTGAACCCTGTCAGCAGAGGCCAGTCCCACATGGGAAAGGTTGGAGCGAAAAGAGACAGACGAGGGGGGGAGTGGATGAGAAGTGAAGAGCCGCATCTGCTTGGTAGATCTCTTCTGCACTCACCTGCTCTCCGTCGCCTGCTGTGCCCTGCCAGACGTTACCAGCAGTTCCAGTAGGATTGGGTTCGAGGACAAGAAAGGGTAAGCTGCTGGAACAGAAGAACATCGATTGAGACATGGAGGTGAGGAAGGAAACAGGGAAGGGGAGGTTGGGCAAAGGAGGGGGAGGGGGGTGGTGGGACGGGAAGAGTGACAGAAGCTAGTAGACAAAATCGATTTTTTTGAAGGAGAGCAAGGGGGGGGGGGGGGGGGGGGGAAGGGCGTACCCTTCTTCTTCCGCCCCTTCATTGTCCGCCTCCCTCCCTTCCACAGGCGTTGATGCAAGCACAGCCGACTTATTAGCAGCCTCAGCAGCTGAGCCCTGCTAATCACCACATAGAAAAAAAAAACAGAAAGTCGGAGAGGGGAAGGATGGGGGGGGAAGAGGAGAGGGGGGGGGGGGTAGGGGGTAAGAGGGTGGTGGGTTGGGTGGGTTGGGTGGGTTGATCACATTGACGTGCTAATTTGATTGAACATTCAATCATAAGAGTCTTCATCACACGTGCATGAACAAATTCTCGCCAGTTATATCACATGTTGACCACATATTACGAGATCACCGAGCTCACTTGTCGGCTACAAGGGGAAACCCTGTTGATTAAACTGTTAGAAAACCTCATCGCAGCTATTTTACACCAGCTCATCTCGGCTCGCCTGACCGAAAAGCTACTCTCGTTTGCTCGTCCAACCAAGCCAGGCAGCATTGCTATAATACTGCTAGAACGAGAAGGAGCTTTAAGCGGTTGGTCAGGATCGGTGGGCGGCACACCTTGGCAACATCTGTTGGCGCTGCAGCACGCTTGCTCTTCTTCTTCGCCATTCGCTGCAGAAGAAGCAGCAGCAGCGCCTGGCGGACAGTCGAAGCAGCAGCAGCGCCTGGCGGACAGTCGAAGCAGCACAAGTCGCTCAAGCTCAGGGCTGACAGGTGGGAAGGGCTAGACGACTGAGATGAGGTGATGATCAGGATGGACGGCCAAGATGAAATTCCCTTGCTGTGTGTGGGGGGCGGATTGACATGAGGATTGGAGGGAGTGGGGAGAGGGAGAGGGGATGGGGGGAGGTAGAAAAAAGGGGAGGAGCAGAGGGGAGTAGCGGAGGGAAGTGGGGGGGCGCGGACAGGCGAGAGGAGGGAGCAAACTGGGGAAGCATGGGGGGAAGGAACGTATGAGTAATGATGTAACGAGGAAAGAACAGGAGTACGGAGAGTGCGGAGGGGAGGAGTGGGGAGGGACGAGAAGCGAGAGGCGAGAGGGGCGGGGCCTGGCGCAAATAGTGCGGATGGCGGGGGGTGTGACGCGCGGGGTGTGTGACGTGCCGGGGGGGGAGGGGGGAGAGGGGGGGCTTGACGAGGAGGGGGTGTGACGAGCTGGGGAGTGACGGGCCAGGGAAAGAGAGTGGTGTGAGGCGCCTCAAAGCACGCACAGGAGCACGGGGCAGCGAGCGGGCGATGGGGAGAGAGATCGGGATCGCGAACAGGGGAGTGGAGGGTATAGGGGGGTGGTTGAGGGTAAGGGGTAGAGAGACTGAGGGTTGCGGGGAGGGGGTTGAGGGTAGGGAGAGGGAACGAGATGGAGTACGCGTGTGCTGCGATGGATGCGACAAGGCACTGTAGCCGGCGAGAGAGACGCACGCACGAACGGCAAAGGGTGAGGTACAGAGGGTATGGAGGGGCGACTGAGGCGAGGAAGGGCGAGGGCGAGGGGCGAAGGGCGAGGGGCGAGAAAGAGATCGATTTAAGTACGTAATTCCCCAAAAACGACCGGTCAAGACGGGCGCGACTGAATAAGCAGCGCGTGGCGCCAAGGGGAGGGCGCGGTTCGATCGACGATTGCACTACAGACGAAAGCGCCTATTCCAAGCCATCCGCACCTGGAAAGATTCGTTTCTTGGCTCGATGACACAGCGAGAGCAGACACGCACGACCCTCAATCGGCGACGCGCACTTGAAGCGAGTAGGATCGGCTCGTTTGATTCTGAAAGCTTCCAGTCGGCCTACCGCCTGACCACGAGTAGAAATACTGTAAACTGGATTTTGACTTGAGCTTTCGTGCTTGTGGTGATGGTTCTTTCCAACTCAGCTAGGTATCTATGGGCGCTATACGGTAACAGCATGGTGAAGTCAATATGTGAGAAGAGAGTGTGCAGACTTTTGTAACGCGTATGCACTTTCCGTAACTATAGTCGTATAAACATGAGGTAGGGTTACCCCCAAGCATAAGAACACGTGGATTTAATTGCATAGTGCAGCATTATATTCATATAATGTCCATACCTTTCCGTATAGTGCACCCTGACTGTGCCTCTTGACGGAGCGCGCTGTAGAGCAGATGTTATGAAGGGAGCAAACTCTGGTCTGGACTGGAGTCCGGAACAAGCTTGCGAAGCCGTCTGACTCAGGACCAGCTTTATCCCTCACACAACCCATAATTTGAAGCACAGCCGTCCGTCGTCCTAGCGGGCGCGCATTACATCTCAGGAGGAACCATCGTATCTGTCCGTCCCTACCGCAACTGGAGACTAGGGAATTGTTGACCTAGATAGGGAGCTGCTTCCGTATCGTATCGTATCGTATCAAGGAGATCGTACCACGTGACATGACCTCCTTGACTTGTCTTCTCGGGAATTCCACCTCCACGCATTCCGCCTTGCCCTTCCGCGGCCACTCCTCCCCGCTCGTCCTCCCGCTTCGCGCTCCCCCGCCCGCATTTTTCCCTCGTCGCTGGAAAACACTCCGAATTCGCGAACTCCGACTCTGCGAAGACAACCGAAGGGTGGTAACAGTAACAGCGTCGTTCGGGGGAAACCGGGGAGCAGGGGACGGGGGGAGCGTGCGGAGGGGTGACTGGCGCGGCGGGGATCATGCGCAGCGGCGGAAATGGCGCGGGGATCAGACAGAGCGGTACGAGGGAAGAGTCCGCGAAATGGGAGGGGAGAGAAGATGGGGGAGTGAGGAGGGGAGGGGAGAGGGTAGAGGAGAGGTGAGAGGCGAGGGGATCGGCGGAGACCTGAGGGGAGGCGGAAGGGGAGGAGCTGATGACGAGGAGCGGGAATCATGGCGCCCCGGAAGGGCGCGGCGGACTGAGGCCAGTCCATCGCGTTTGTTGGACACTTACTCCGTCCGCGATTTACGGAATTCAGGGGATTCACGCGGATCACGCTATTCACAGGATGAGGCTTCATCGCGTTTCCCCTCGTCGCGCCGCCCTCCCGTCGGTAATCGAGCGAGCGCGGACGGCTGGGGGGACTACAGCGCGGGGGGACCCATCGGCGCAGCCTCGATGAGCACAGGGGGCCCAAGCGGAGCCCCGCGATCGGCTGGCGCGCGGGCGGCTAGCGGAGCAACGGGGACCGCCGGCGGAACCGGCATCGGCGGAACGGGGAGGGGCACAGCGCCGGGGAAGACTCCGCCGAAACACCCCTTGGCGCGGCGGCTGCGCGGGAAGAAAACCGAGGAAACCCTCGCAAAGGAGATAGGCGTGGTGATGGTGCAGCTGGGGAAGCTAGAGCCTGGGGGGGAGCGAAAGGTGTGGCACGTGCTGCGGAAATACGCCAAGTGCTTTGGCCCCGAGTGCGTTTTAGGCGCTCTGAACGAGCTCATGCGCCGGAACGACGTGGACCGTACGATCGAGGCGTTTGAGTGCATCCGAACCGCCCACTGGTTCGAGCCGGATCCGATGCTGTATGCGCGGATGATTGAGGTGCTGGCGCGGAACTCGCGGACTGACACTGCTGCTGCACTCTTTGCCTCCATGGATGGCGGCCCTGCTGTGCCCCTCACTGGGGGAATGGCTATGCTGGTGGGCTCAGGGGGGGGTGGGGGAGCGGCTGGGAGGGGTGGTGTGAGGGAGGATGTGAGGAATGGTGTGAGGGGGAATAGTTGGGATTCTGGCAGTGATGACGATGATTTTAGTGGTGATGACGTGGATGGGTCGGACGATGAGCTGGCACGAAACCCAGGGTATGATGACGAGGATGAGGATGATCCGGATGGCGACCGGTGGGGCACGAGCAAGGGGCGGCGGAGGCGACTCAAGAAGAAAGCTGCTGCTGCTGGAGCAGCGTCAAAAGGTTCTTTAGCAGCAGCAGCGCGAGGAGCAGGGGGAGGAAACCGAGTTGGAGGAGGATCAGGAGGGGCCGAAGGAACAGCGGCAACAGCGTCGGCAGCAGCGTTGGCGCAGTTACCGCGGTTGAAGGCGTGTGTGCGCACGCCGTCGGTGTATGCAGCGATGATCGACGCGTATGGGCGCCGCCACCAGGCCACGGCTGCCCTCGCCCTACTGCACCAGATGAAGGCCACCCCGGCCTGTGCTCCAGATGCTGCGGCTTATGGGTGAGTCAGCTTCGAGAAGTTATGTTAAAATTCACAGGCCATGCCATGCCACTCCAAGCCATCCCATGCCATGCTGTGCCGTGCCGTGCTATCCCGTGCCTTGTCATACCATGCCATGCCATGCCATGCCATGCCATGCTATGCCATGCTATGCCATGCTATGCCATGCTATGCCATGCCATGCCATGTCATGCCACATCGCCATTCTGTGCCATGCCTTGTCGTGCCACGCCATGCCATGCCATCCGTTCCAGTGCCCCTCTGCTCCGAATTCCTCGCCTCAGGGTGGCAGTGAAAGCTCTCTGTCTGGTAGGCCACACAACAAAGGCCGCAGACCTTCTAGCGGACATGACTCACAGGGGCGTGCTGCCAGACTCCACGCCCTTTAACGCCCCCCTCTTTCTCGCCCTCCCCCTGCTTCACCGCGCGTGCATATTCCCAGGTCGGCAGTGAAGGCACTATGCCTGGTAGGCCGCACCACGGAGGCGGAGGATCTCCTAGCGGACATGGCGCACAGGGGCGTGCTGCCCGACGCCACTCCTCATGTTGCTCCCCTCTTTACTCACCCCTGGTCGCAGGTCGGCAGTGAAGGCACTGTGCTTAGTGGGGCGCACCACGGAGGCAGAGGATCTTCTAGCGGACATGGCGCACAGGGGCGTGCTGCCCGACGCCACTCCCCATGTTGCTCCCCTCTTTACTCACCCCTGGTTGCAGATCGGCAGTGAAGGCACTGTGCTTAGTGGGGCGCACCACGGAGGCAGAGGATCTTCTAGCGGACATGGCGCACAGGGGCGTGCTGCCCGACGCCACGCCCTTCAACGCCCTGATTGACGCGTACGGGGGAGCGGGGCAGCTGCAGCTGATGCGAGACAAGTTCTTTGAGCTCACCAGCGTGGGGTTGAGGCCCGATGTGCGCACATTCAATGGACTCATCCGAGGTTTCGGCAGGTGAGGGGTGGGTGAGAGCGATTGATTGAGAGGGGGTGTTGAGAGACACTTGTGTGTGGGCGGGCATAGGAGGGGGGTAGTGCGGGGCAGCTGCAGCTGATGCGAGACAAGTTCTTTGGGCCCACCAGGGTGGGACTGAGGCCAGACGTGCGCACGTTCAATGGCCTCTTTAGGGGTCGGCAGGTGAGGGGTGGGTGAGAGAGATTGCTGGTGATGGGGTGCTGAAACACACGTGTGTGGTGTGAACACGTGGGGGGGAGGGGGGCAGGTGCAGCTGATGCGAGACAAGTTCTTTGAACTCACCAGCGTGGGACACAAACCCGATGCGCGCACTTTCAATGGGCTCATCCGAGGCTTCGGCAGGTGAGGGGTGGGTGAGAGGGATTGCTTGCGACAGGGTGGGTGCTAATACTCGAGTGTGTAATCACGCGTACGGGGGTGCGGGGCAGCTGCAACTGATGCGTCGTCAGGGCCTTGGCAGATGAGGGGGGATGAGAAAGAGATGTGAGAGAGAAAGAGGTGATGTACTGGGCGTGATAGGCGGTGGGGCAGGTGCAGGGAATGTTGGGCACGCTCCTTGAGGTGACCATTTTTTTAGAAGCTCTTTCTCATGTATCCATCGTCTTTCTTTCCCACATACTGTGAGCCGAGTTGGTTTTTGAGTCTACTAAAAACTCAGCCCAAACGCTGGCATGGCAGCTTGTGAAACGCTGAGATACGCCAGCATCAGTGCACATCCTGGCCGCCTCCTCCTCATGTGTGCATCGCCCCTCTTTCCCACACACACACGGTGGGCCTGCCAACACAGACAGAGGCAGCGCGACGCATATATCATCTTCTGAGTCAACACGAAAGTCGGCAGCTGTTGTTTCACTTATGGGATGGGGTATCGTGCAGTGCAGTGCCCAGCGGGCCACCTCGTCAGGTTCCCTGTGCACTTTCCTGTGCCCGGCCACCTAGCAAGTCTGTTATGAGAGATGGAGGCGGTGTTTGAGAACATGCGGATGGGGTACCGCACAGCACCCAACGTGCACACCTGTGCTGCTACCTGTGTGCTTCACTGTTCCTCTCTTCCTTGTTGTGCGTCTCGTCCCGTTCCCCTCTCCCTCTCACCCACTCACAGAGCGGGTCTACTATCAGAGATGGAAGCAGTGTTTGAGAACATGCAGATGGGTTACCGCACAGCACCCAACGTGCACACCTTCCATGCCCTCATGGACGCCTATGGCGCCCACGCCCTCACCTCCCTGCACCGCCAAGACAGCAAGGGAACTGAGTGGTTTGAGTCGCAGCATGAAGCCGCTCAGAGACAACCGCAGCAGGAGCGGGAGCAGGAGGAGGAGGAGCAGACGGGGAGACGGGAGGGGAGGCAGCAGGAGGCCAGGCAGCGACGCGGAGGGGAGCGGGAGGGGAGGTTTGGGAGGTCTGAGAGGAGGGGAGGGGATGCTGATGCTGATGCAGCGGAGGGGCAGCAGGGGGGGAGGCAGCGGAGTGCAGAGCGCAGGCGGGGTGTGTTTGAGCGCATGCAGCGCACGCTGCTGCATCTTGTGAAGATGCGTTACCGCCTGCATGCCGAGTCGTTTGACCTGCCCCTCAAGTACCTCTCTCAGGTGATTCTCTGCTGCCCTTGAACCTGGCTTAGCTGTGAGCCGCTGCTGGTTCGGTACCTGGCTGGCTCGGCACACTGCTGTGGTTGCCAAGTCGTGGTGCCGAGCCTCCACGCCAAGCCTAACCTTGATGCTGCAGGGTGTTTTTGAGAATTCTCAAAAACACCCTGGTTGCCAAGTCGTGGCGCCGAGCCTCCACGCCAGGCCTAACCTTGCAGTCGCTCACCACACTGCTGCTCCGCTCCTATCCTTCAACATCACAAAGTGTGTTTCGTTTTGCCTCACGTGCACCACTGCAGGCGGGCATGGTGGAGGAGATGGAGAAGGTGTTTCGACTCATGAGAGCCATCGGCGTGCGCCTCACACCCACCACCTTCCCTCTATCTTTCCTGGCCTCTCCCTTTTCCTCTCCACTTCCGTGCATACTTTCTACTGCAGGCCGGTATGGTGGAGGAGATGGAGAAGGTGTTTCGGCTGATGAGGGCGATCGGCGTGCGCCCCACAACCACCACCTTCACGCTTCTCGCTGATGCCTACAGCGCCGCCGGGCAGCCGAAACAAATCCTGCGCCTGCTCAAGCAGATGCAGTCCATGCCCCTTGCTGCCCGAAAAGAAAACAACTCCACTCCCAACAGCGGCAGCAGCAGCAGCAGTAGCAATGGTGGTGGTGATTCTTCCAGTGCGCGCAGCAGGCTGCTTGCTGCAGCAGCGGTGGCGTTTGCCTCAGCAGTGGAGATCAAAGAGATGGAGTGGTGCCTGCTGCAGCTGCACCCTCTCAACACCACCCCTTCCTCCAGCCCCACTCCCTCCTCCACCTCCTCTCCTTCCTCCTCTCCCCCCTCCTCTCCCTCCTCCTCGTCCCGCTCCACCTCCTCAGCCTCATCCTTCCCCTCTCACGCTCTGGCTGAGCCGGCGCGGCTGCAAGCATGGGTGGGGGCGGGGGGCGGAGGCATGGGGGTGGTGTCGGCAGCAGTGGAGGCATACGCGCGGGCAGGCATGCTCTCCCACATGGAGGCTCTGTTCTTGGGGGCTCAGACCTTGGGGATGGGTGCACGGGGGATGGGGGTCGGTGCACGGGGAATGGGAATGGGTGTGATGGGTGCACGGGGTATGGGGGTGAGTGTGGCAGGAGATGAGGGAGGTGTGGGAAGGATGGGGGCACGTGGCATGGCGGCAGGTGGCATGGGGGCACGTGGCATGGCGGCAGGTGGCATGGGGGCACGTGGCACGGCGGCAGGTGGCATGGGTGCGAGTGATTCAGATTGGGGGGGAGTTGCAGGGGAGGGCGTTGGTGGGAGGATGGGGGAAGTGGGGGTGCGTGGTGGGGGGATAGGGGCAAGAAGTTTAGGGGGAGGGACGATGGGGGGAGAAACCATGGGGGGAAGGATGATGGGCGGGGGGATGATGGTGGAGGGGCGAATATGGGGAGGGAGGGAGGGGAGGACATGGGAGGGGAATGGAGGGGGTTCAAGGGGGTGGGTTGACGAGCCTATGGGGACAGGGATGGCGGTACGTGGAGGGGTTGAGTACGGTGCCAATGGTACCTATGACTATGGTGGTGATGGGTATGGTGGCATGGCAAGTGGCCATACAGAAGTCTTCTCTTTACCCTCCTCTCCCCCTCCTCATCCCCATTACCACCCCCGCGGCCGCCACCGGCTCGTTTTGTCCTTATCTGCATGCAACGCCATGGCTCAAGCCTACGCTGCAGTGGCCTCTCCGGGCGGCGTGAGGCGAGTCATGGCTTACATGCTTCGGCACGGAGTGGCCCGCGACGAGACGACCATTGCCGCCCTCCTCTCCGCTTGCGCAGCTGTTGCTGACATGGCGGGCATGGAGGCGGCTCTGCAGCGGGCAGTGCGACGGGGTATGCTGGAAACGACTCCATCTGGCGCCTACGTGTCGCCAAGTGGAGCAGTCCGGAGCCTGCCAGCTGGCGCTTACGTGGCAGCAGCGCAGGCGTTTGGAGCTGTAGGGAAGGTGGGAAGGATGAGGGAGATGCTGGGAATCGCGCGGCAAGTGGGGCAGGTGGGGCAGGCGGGAGTTGTGCAAAGTCACTTAGGGAATGATTCCGGTGGTGGAAGGGGAATGGGAGTGGGTGAGAGTAGGGGTAGGAATGGATCTGAATTGGGTGGTGATGGAGGTGGGATGGGAGGAAGGGGAGAGTGGTTCCTGGATGGGGAGAACCAAGCGTGGCCAGCCGCAGAGGAGGTGGAGAGGGAGTGCTATTTGACTGCCATCGATGCTTTTCTTACCTCTGCTGATAATGATGACGATGCTGGTCATAGCCGCAGTGGTGGTTTGGCTGACACTTTGAGAAAGAGAGAGGGTGAAGGGGGAGCAGCTGGCAACAGATGGTCCGAAGCTGACTCACCAGCAGCAGCTTCGGCGATAGGTTCGGCAGCCGGGGCGCCCGAGGAGCCACCAGCTTTGGAGAGAGCGGAGGCGCTATTGGAGGAGATGCATGGGCGGGGGATGTGTGCTGACGTGGCGACGTACAGTGCTGTGCTGGCAGCGAGGGGGCACGGGGCGGTGGTGGAGGGGGCAGCAGAGGAGGTGCTTGAGGTGGAGGCGTGGGGGATGAGTGAAGGGGCCGTGTGCGCTGCTGCCCTGCTCTTGCTGCTGGCACAAGCACAGGCAGAGACAGACAGAAAGAATACCCCAACACAAGTGGAATGTGTATCATCCGATGCTACTGCTGCTCCTGCTTCTCTGCCTACTGCTACTGCTGCTCCTGCTTCTCTGCCTACTGCTACTGCTGCTCCTGCTTCTGCTCTGCCTACTGCTACTGCTGCTCCTGCTTCTGCTCTGCCTACTGCTACTGCTGCTCCTGCTTCTGCTCTGCCTACTGCTACTGCTGCTCCTGCTTCTGCTCTGCCTACTGCTACTGCTGCTCCTGCTTCTGCTCTGCCTACTGCTACTGCTGCTCCTGCTTCTGCTCTGCCTACTGCTACTGCTGCTCCTGCTTCTGCTCTGCCTACTGCTACTGCTGCTCCTGCTGCTCCTGCTTCTGCTCTGCCTACTGCTACTGCTGCGACGGCCTCTGCAGCATCAGCAGAATCCCACCGGCTGCTTCACTGGCTCTGCTCCCTACAGGCTGCTCGCTTCCGCCCTCTCGTTCGCTTCCTGGGCCTGTCGCTGGTAGAGGGTGGGATGACACGGGACTTGACGCTGGATGGAGGCTTGGAGTGCAGAGGAGTAACTTTTGAGCTGACTCAAAAGTCGCTGGAGGGAGGCTTGGAGAGCAGAGGAGTGGGGCAGCAAGAGGTGGTTGGGAGATTTGGCTCGCAGGGCAGTGGAGAGGAGCGGCGGCAACAGCTGACAGGATTTGATGCTTCATCAGCACAGGAGAAGGCTCTGTTCCATGACTTAAGGAAGCTTCTTCGAAGCGTCCAAGGCAGTGCCCACCCTGCTTCCCTGCGCCCTCTGTTTGCCTCTCTTGCCGCAGCTCTCTGCAGGTTTGGCAGGCTTCGCCGAGCCTGTTTGGTCCTGGAAGAGGCTCGGAGATTTGGAGCATATCCAACACCGCCAAGCCTACCTGTGCCGAGCCTGGCTGGCCCGGTTTGGTCGCTGGACCTGCACTTGTACCGAGGTCCGGTGGCAGTGCTTGCACTGGCAGTGTGGCTGGAGGAGCTCTGCTGGAAGATTTCCAAAGCTGAAAAGGAGGCTCGGGATGGTTTAGTGGAAGGCTCGGGAGGAGAGAGACTCGGAAGGCAAGTATTGAAAGGAGATATTGAAGGGGATTATGAGCTACAGTGGCCTGCACGAGCTGTGATTATATTGGAGGCCAGTGGGCATGAGTTGCTGGAGCCATCACAAGGGCGGAGAGCTGTGAGAGACTTCATGGCTTGTAGTGAGTTGCCTTTTAAAGCGCTCAGTAGTGATCCGTATGGGCGCATGGATGCAGAGGTGGATGGGTTGAGGGAATGGGTGGATGGGAAGTGGCCGATAGCAAGTGATGCAGGGAAAACAGCAGGGAGCGATGCCTTAAAGCATTTCAGGCCTGGTCTGTGGCAAGACGTGAGAAACTTTCTGCTGGTTTATTTTGAACAATGATTTGCGGTTAAAACCTATCAAGTGGCTCAAAAATACAATAATGGTTCCTATGTAATGATTTCAGCTCATTTGATATGTGCACATGATATGCATGCCTCAGCGCGCTTCACTGTTGCATATGGATGTTACATGCACTTAAGAAATGGGTGCTTACATCGAACACAAGGGGGAGGGGGCAGAGACTGGAAGCAAGCAACATATACAACCTTGTACATCTAGACTTGGCAAATCCTAGCTGCCAAACCCATGAGAAGGAATTTCCGAACAGTGGAGCCCCATGGGTGTGGCCCACACTCCACCAGCATGGCCAAGGGACTGATGGGACTAGAGATGTGCATGGGTATGTGATGTGGATGCGCTCGGGCATGTATGAGGGATGTGCATGGGGACGGGAATAGGGATTGGCATGAAATTAATTCAAGGGATGGGCATGGGGATGACATGGGATGTGCATGGACATGGGACAAGGGATGGCAGGGGATGGTACTAGGGATGAGAATGGGGTGGGAACATGGATGGGCAAGGGGATGGGCCTACGGATGGGATGGATACTAGGGGTGGGATTGGAAGTAGGAATATGGATGAGCATTTGGATGGGACAGGGCATGGGGATGGGATTGGGGAAGGGGATGGGAGTAGGGAAGGGCATGTACATGCACATGGAACTAGGGACTTGGGATTGGCGTGGGGATAAGATTAAGGATGGGCATATGGATAGGACTAGGGATGCAGATGGGGATGGAACTAGACATGGGTATGGGATGCGAATAGGAATGGGACTAGAATGGACATGGGTATAGGATGCAAATAGGAATGGGCATGGGGATGGGACTAGGAATGGACATGGGTATGGGATGCGAATAGGAATGAGCATAAGGTTGGGACTAGGAATGGACATGGGTATGGGATTCAAATAGGAATGGTCAAGGGGATGGACCCAGGGTGGTATGGGTATGAGATTAGGAATGGGTATGGAATGGTAGTGGGGACGGGCAAATTGAGAGACGGATGGGCATAAGGGTGGTACTACCATGGTTACGAGGATGGGATTATGAATCGTTATTGGGATGGGAAAAGAGATGGGTATGTGGATGGGCATGGGAATGGGACAAGAGATGGGCATGGGGATGGGAATAGGGATGGGCATGGGGATGGGACTAGGGATGGGCATGGGTATGTGTCTTGAGAGGTATGGGCACGTAATGATGTGCATGGGGTTTGGCTAGGGATGGCATGGGGATGCGATTTTCTTTGTGCATGTGGATGCGATTAGGTATGGGCATGGTGATGGGAGCAGTGATGTGCATACAGGGATGGGATTATGAATGTGCATGTGTATGATATTAGGGTTTTTCTGTAGGATGGGACCTGAGGTGGACATGGGGATGGTGCTAGGCATGGGTATGAGGATGCAAATATGGATGTGCATGGGGATGAGACCAGGGATGGGCATGGGTATAGGAATGATGATGGGCATGCAGATGCGTGTAGGGATGGGCATGAGGATAGGACCTGGGACTAGCATTAACATGGGACTAGGGGACATGGCAATGGGCGTGATAGGTGTGGGGAACATGAAAATGGTTTTGATGGGTGCAAGGGACATAGGGATGGGTGAGGCAGGAGATGGAAGGGGTGGGGTAACGATGTGGGCAGGTTCCATGGATGGAGGTGAATTGGCATGGGAAAGAGTTGTGGGAATGGCATTAAAGGTTGGAGGATTGGGGCAGTGGGGATGCGTGGTGAGGGGAAATGGGGGAGGAGCGTGGGGGATGGACAATGGGGGGGGGGGGGGGGGGGGTGGCGATAGGGGGAGAGACTATGGGGGAAGGATGATGGGTGGGGGGATGATGGTGGAAGGGCAAATATCAGGAAAAAGGGATGGGAAGACATGGGAGGGGAATGGAAGGGGGTCACAGGGGTGGGTAGACGAACCTGTGGGAACAGGAATGGTGTTAGGAAGAGGAGTTGAGTATGGTGTCAATGCTAGTTATGACTATGATGGTGATGGGTATGAGGGTGATGGATATGGCTCATTTAGGGGGTGGTGGCTCTGGTGACATGATGAGAGACTATCAAAACATCCCTTCCCTGCTCTCCCCTCCTTCCACTTCCCATCAACACCGCCGCAGCCGCCACCGGCTCGTTTTTTCCTCATCTGCATGCAACACCATAGCTGAAGCCTTTGCTGCAGTGGCCTCTCCGGGCTAGCATGTAGGCCATGTCTCGCATGACAGGTAGCAGCAGAGGAGCAGCAGCAGATGCGGCGATGGGTTCGGAATCTGGCGCGCCCGAGGAGCCACCAGCTTTGGAGTGAGCGGAGCTATTCGAGGAGATGCATGGGCGGGGGATGAGTGCTGACGTGGCGGCGTACAGCACTGCTATCAGCGAAGGGGCAAGGGGCAGTGGTGGAGGGGGCAACAGAGGAGGCTCAGAGGTTTGGGCCGTATCAAACACCGCTGAGCCAACCTGTCCCAAGCCTCGCTGGCCCGGTTTGGTCACTGGACCTGCACTTGTGCCAAGGTGTGGCTGTGCTTGCACTGGCAGTGTGGCTGGAGGAGCTCTGTTGGAAGGTTTCCAAAGCTGACGAGAAGGCTCGGGATGGTTCAATAGATGGCTCAAGGGTTGGAAGGCTTGGAAGACAAGTATTAGAAGAAGATGATGAAGGGGTTATGAGCAACAGTGGCCTGGGTGAGCTGTGATTATATGGGAGGCCAGCAGGCATGAGCTGTTGGAGCCATCAGTAGGACGGCTAAATCTATTACTGCTGTGAGGAACTTCATGCGGATATATTTATGCATTGGCATGGGGATGGCTGGTGAAGTTCCACGCCCATCGCTTGTGAGGCCAGCAGGCAAGAGCTGTTGGAGCCATCACTAGGACGGGATGGGCGTCCCCGGCTGAGGAACTTCATGCGGATATATCTATGCATGGGTGTGGGGCTTGGATAAAAAATCTGCATGGGGAAGGGACTACGTGTTGACGGGAATAGGTTGTTGGCACCGCCCTCGCTTGGACGAAGCTGGCGTAGTAGTCGGGTGCGTGGGAGGTGCGGCCGACCATCCGCAGAGGTCGACGCGTGCAGGTCGACGGATTTGGTCGCACTGCAGAAGACTGTTGCGGAGCCGCCGACGATGGGAAGCTGGTGGCAGATTTCGACTAGCGCGGTCGACGAAGAAGTTCGTCAACCTGCCTTGGGGAGTGGTCGACGAAGGTGATCGTCAATCTGCGCGGGACTGTTGAGGAGGCCGTCGAAGATGGCAGTTTGACAACACCTTACCAAGCTGGTCGACGGAGGGGTCCGTCAAGCAGGGTGGTCTTCGACGGGAGCAGTGATCGACGAGGGAGGTCGTTGACCAGGGCGCTGGGTGGTCGACCCAATCGACCAAGTAATTCCCACAAGGTCCCGCGGAGGTACGTGAGGCTCGTCGGGGTTGCGATGGCGAGGGCGACCTCAGGCTGGTATCCTGAGTCGACATGGAGCGTCAGACGCAATCATCGGCATGTGGCCGACTTGGCTCCTGCACGACGGTAGAGAACGTGCAAGACCGTCGCCGCACATCTGCAAAGCGGGTGCGCACATGCGCTTCTGTCACATGTGGATGCAACACTGACAGACCGCTCTACTGCAGCGTTGGCAAGCTGCGCTGCTGGCACGCCGCCTTTCTGTAATGCTGGCGCAATACCTCTACGCAACGCTGGCAGATTGTCGACTTTTCTAGTGGAACTCTTGCCAGTTCTCCCCGTGAATGTGTGCGTAGAGAGGACACAAGCAAACGCTACGATCACTCCTACAACACGTGCCTTCATCGTAGTCCAACTTTTGTTGTAGAGTGACTCTTCACACTAACTACAGTCATGAGGATGGGAATCGGAAAGGCATGGATCTGTGTGAGTAGGGATGGGAATGGGATTGGGATTAGGAATGAAAAAGGGCATTGGACTTGGGATGAGCTTGTAGATGGGAAATAGGATGGGCATGGGGATGGGAATAGGTTTTGGCATGGAGATGGGAGTAGGGATAGGAATGGGGATGGGACTATGGAGAGGCGTGGGAATGGGAAAACAGACGAGCATAAGGATGAGAGTAGGTATGGACATGGGGATGGGAATAGGCATGAATTTGGGGATGGGACTAGGCATGTGCATGGGGATGGAGTTATGGATGGGCATGGACACTGGACTAAATGTGGTTATGGGAACTGGAATTGGGATGGGCATGGAAATCGGACTAGGGATGGGCATGGGGATGAGACTAGGGATGGGCATGTGGATGAGACCAGGGATGGGCATGGGGATGAGACTAGGGATGGGAATGGGGATGAAACTAGGGATGGGCATGGAGGTATTAGGGATGAGCATGGAGATGGGAGTATGGATGGGTATGGGGATGGACTAGTGATGGGCATGGGAATATGAATGTGTAGGGGCAAGGGGATATGGCTAGGGATGGGCATGGGGATGGGGATGGGAATAGGGATGGGCACGGGGATGGTATTAGGGGTTGGGAATGGTAATGGTATTAGGGGCGGGCATGGGAATGGTATTAGGAATGGGCATGGTTTTGGGATTAGGGATAAGAATGGGGATAAGAGTAGGGATTAGCATGGGGAGTAGGAATGGGTATTGGGACGGGTCTAGGGATGGGCATGTGGATGGGACCTGGCATGGGCATGGGGATGGGCATAGGGATGGGCATGGGAATGAGACTAGGAGTGTGTATGGGGAAGTTATTAGGGATTGGCATGGGAATGAGAATAGGGATACGCATGGTGTGGGTGTAGGGATGGACATGGGGATTGGACTAAGCATGTGCATGAGGTTGGGATCACGGATGGGCATGGAGATGGGACAAGGGATGGGCATGGGGATGGAACAAGGGATGGTCATGGGGGATGGTCGTGGAATGGGACTGGGGATGGTCATGGGATGGGAATAGGGAAGGGTATGGGCACGGGACTTGCGATGGGTATGGGGATGGGAGAAGTTATGGACATGGG